CTGGCTAAACGGGATCATCCGAGTCACGGATAAAATAAACTCAAAGCTGATGCTTCCCTTTCATCTCTGTACTTTCTGGAGCTGTTCCTTCTCCTAACTCCATCTTTTCCTTGTCTACCTACAACACCTCTCGGATTTCACCACATCTCTGTCTCATCTGTATCTGTCTCCTCTCACCTCATTATATCAAACTATTATCTCGTGTCCACATTTCTCACTACATCTCTATCCCTTACCTACATCTCTTCTGCCATCTCACGAGGACTTTATAATTTAGAAGCAGTTGGAGGCTCCGGTAATAATTTACGTAGGCCCACCACGATTTCGACTGCAGCCACCTACCCAACACAAATGACAGTCCACAAAGTGGCGTTGATAATGACCTTAATTTCGTTGGGAGTCGCTTTATTGATCGAATGTCTGTTTATTTGAGGTAAAATTAATCGATGGACAAAACCCTCGGCCGCTCGGCCTGTCATCGTAAACATTTATATCGAGCGGTCGGTCTGACAAACCGTCTCTGGAATGGGCTCTCGATCGTTCGCAGGTGTTGTTCGCTGCCTTTTGTCCATCGTAAGCGCCCATCGAGGACTCGCAATAAACCCGAATATTATATTGGCCATAATTGCCACACTAATGCCCTGACTTTGCAGCACGTGACATTGTTGCAGATTGCCACGTCTGCTGAGAAAGGAGAGGCTTAAAAAGAAGAAAATCGGCATGCACTATCTCATCACTGTGTGCCCAGCCATGAACTACGCACTGCCAGGGGAAGGCGTCCTCGACACGATGTCGCCATCCCTCTCTCGCCCCTGCGATGCCACAGTCGATCTCGGCCCTGGGCACGCGCCGTTCTCATCGCTTCCACTTGATGTCCCCGCGATGGTCGTCCCCTCGTGGCTGCCAGTCCACCACCAATCTCACCCATCGGCCATCGCTCCTTCTAGCCACTAACCCACGCGTCCTGCTCACTTCTCCTTGCTCTGCTCAACAGTGAGCCTCTCTGTCTCTGGCGCCTGTGTGTGTTCCCTGATCCACGTGGGACCTCTCTCCATCTGTTCCTCAGTATAGCGTTAAGAATTGCATCTCTCTTGGTGCTTCTTTGTGCGTTTTTAAAGTAGTTTCTCTCTCTCATCTTTTTCAGTCAGTTGTCCATTATAAGAATAGGGTTTTACTCTTTCTGGCAATACAATAGTTGTGTTAAAATGTGCAAATACCAAACAGAATCCTTTTGCAAGGAATAATGTCTGCAATAACCACACGCATACTTGTGGTGAACATGCCAACAAAAACATGCTCTCATAATATACGCATCCTCTTTTAAACTGATCGATCTACACCAGAGAAAGCCTTCTTTGGGGCCTAGTCGCAAACAGGGTTCGATCAGAGGACGCCAAAAGGCGAATAGCATAAAGACAAGTCCACTATGAGAGCATTTATAGCTCGGGGTGAGCAGCTACAACATGAGACATCTATTGCCAGTATCAAAGCATAACACTGGTCAACAAAACATTTTTTCTGGCCTGGACTTTTGCAGCTGTTTTAGACTCATTTCAGGGTGCTGATTCCAAATCTTATCTCAGATTTGCTCAACCACATCTAATTTTTATGCTATCGGCATACCCCATTTTCATTGATTTTACCCGAAATTAACTCTGTCACTTATGATTGCAAGTTGTTGCCAGTCAGTGACTGCTTTAGTGTTAAAATGTGGTGCTGTATTTTTAGGATAGTGTGTTTATAATATCATTTTATGTAGATATCCTTATTTATTTAATATTTTTTTTCTGCAGTTTTTATTGAAAATTCTATATTTGATATCTCAAAAACCTGATGTGATAGACACAAACTGATGCCAGATTTGGAATCAGCACCCCAAAATTACCTTAAAACTATTGGAATACCTTATGCAAGAAAAAGTGTGTTGACCAGTGTAATAATTGTTTGCATTTTCACCACAAGTATGTGTGTGGTTAATGCAGACATGATTCCTTGCAAAAGGTTTCTGTTTGGTGTTTGAACATCTCAACCCCTCCTGTTTTATTGCCAGAGAGGGTAAAAGCTATTCTTATACTTTGATGCTGGCAAGAAAGGCCTCAGTTGTCCAGGTTATCCCATCCGGATGTCACAGTGGGCCTTGCGCAATGCTCGACAGCCTCCTCCGGCACATCGGTTTGCTGGTTTTCACCATCAAATTTAGTTTTCTCAAGGCACTCCATCCTTGCTCTTGATTCACGTCTATTTGCATAATTGTGAATCTGGTCACCTTCAATAATTACCTCAGGTGCACTGTACACAAATCTGCCTTGCTCGCAAGTTCTCTTCCTTCTGCCGCTCCTGTTCAGCGAGATTGTCTCGCGTGACCTTTGCTTTGCTCGCGTTGACATTGAGCCCAGCTTTGCAGCCTTCTTTGCTAAGGTCGTAAATTATTTGCAAAATTAATTAATTTTGCTTTTTGTAGGCAAAATCTGAGGTGGCTCATACTTTGCTCCGTTACCCATTTAGGAAAATATCTCCTCGCGATGCATCACATAATGAGTATTTTGTACAAATTTAATGTTTCATACTTTTACTTATATATTCATGCTTGTACATTTCAGAATGTGTCGGCGTGCGATAATATATTTAAATCCAGGTCTCCCTTGAAGAAGCTCTGATTTCGCTGGGCTCTTACCTTGTCACAGTGAAGGTTGATTGTCGTGAAAGGTGGGGAGTAGAGTGAGATGAGAGGGAAGAGGCAGGAGAGTGCGTGGAGGGGAGTAGAGTGAGATGAGAGGGGAGAGGCAGGAGAGTGCATGGAAGAGAGTGGAGTGAGATGAGAGGGGAGAGGTAGGAGAGTGCGTGGTGGGGAGTAGAGTGAGATGAGAGGGAAGAGGCAGGAGAGTGCGTGGAGGGGAGTAGAGTGAGATGAGAGGGGAGAGGTAGGAGAGTGCGTGGAGGGGAGTAGAGTGAGATGAGAGGGGAGAGGTAGAAGAGTGCGTGTGGAGGGGAGTAGAGTGAGATGAGAGGGGAGAGGTTGGCAGGGCTGAGTCCACGGAAGATTTTGAAGACGGTGAGCGTGATCTTGCTTCTGATGCGAGATCGCATTCGGAGGCCGATGAACGACTGCGCTCATCTGACGACTCAGCCTCTCCGTGGCACGCGGAGCTCACGCCGCACTGCAGGTGAACCACGAGGGGTCCCAGCAACCTCAGCGGCCACGTCGTGACCACGTGGCCTGTCGACCCACACCAGGGACGGGACTGATCTTCGCCACAGGTGCACAGCCAAGAGCGGTCCTGACACTTGACGACGTGAGGTTGATGGGGCCAGTGTCGCGTGTCTTGGCGTAAAGTGACCACCTGCACGTCCAAACGACGTCTAAATCTGACCCAAAAATAACGGCGGTTTGTCGCCTTTCACGAGTCAAATGAATCACGGCCGTCATTGTGAATGTAAATGAACACAATTAGTTAGTCGGCAGACAATATCTCTAGAATAGAATATTTTTTACCCAACCCCATCGGCCTTGTGGGAGTATATGATTTCAGCAGCATTGGTTCAAAACAAGCAAACACTGGACCGATTTCGACAGTGTCTCATCAGCAGAATCATGCTCGCTCTCATCAACACTGACGAAGTGCTCATGTTACAGGCCAGGGTCCTCCCTTTACGCTATGGGACCATACTTCGACACGGCGCGTTTTTAATGCCAAATACTCGCAAACATTCAACAAAGATCCCCCGCAAAGACTTTAACAGACTTGGGACAAGTTCTGTTCGCGAGTAGCGCCTATGCAGCCGGCACGGTGCACGGGGGGGCAGGGTGGACGGCACCACGCCCGGCCGCCTTTGTCTCCCGCGTAACGATGTTTACACTCCGCTCCTGGCACTCATTTGAGGCTGAGTCTACCTAGGGGACGCCCAGGACCGGTTTAGATAATCGTCACTGGTGTTGTGGGCCGTGAGCAGGAATCGAACTCGGGTCGCTGGGTTCACAGCGTAGCGCGCTGACAGATCACGCGACCGTTCCCCGTATCCACATACACAACAAAGACACACACACACACAACAACAACGACACACACACAACAACAACAAAGACACACAACAACAACAACAAAGACACACAACAACAACAAAGACACACACACAACAACAAAGACACACACAACAACAAAGACACACACACACAACAACAAAGACACACACACGGACACAACAACAAAGACACACACACGGACACAACAAAGACACACACACAACAACAACAAAGACACACACACACAACAAAGGCACTTACACACAGATACAACAAAGACACAGTCACACGGAGTCACCAACAATCGCGGAAACACCAACAAGCCCCATCATGCACGCGGCTATTGTCACAGCCGGGGTTTGGTTGTTGGGGCCTTGGTTGTGGTGGTTGGGGCCGTGGTTGTGGTGTTTGGGGCCGTGGTTGTGGTGGTTGGGGCCTTGGTTGTGGTGGTTGGGGCCGTGGTTGTGGTGGTTGGGGCCGTGGTTGTGGTGGTTGGGGCCGTGGTTGTGGTGGTTGGGGCCGTGGTTGTGGTGGTTGGGGCCTTGGTTGTGGTGGTTGGGGTCTTGGTTGTGGTGGTTGGGGCCTTGGTTGTGGTGGTTGGGGCCGTGGTTGTGGTGGTTGGGGCCGTGGTTGTGGTGGTTGGGGCCGTGGTTGTGGTGGTTGGGGCCTTGGTTGTGGTGGTTGGGGCCGTGGTTGTGGTGGTTGGGGCCGTGGTTGTGGTGGTTGGGGCCTTGGTTGTGGTGGTTGGGGCCGTGGTTGTGGTGGTTGGGGCCGTGGTTGTGGTGGTTGGGGCCGTGGTTGCTGTGATTGTTGGTGGTGGAGGCTGCGACATCCTCTTCTATCTTCACGGCGGCGACTCAGGAGCCGTCCGGTGTCGCTTGGTGGTGTCGCACGACGCACAGAGGCTCCACCAATCAACCTCCACCTCCGCCACACTCCTCTTATCATCGCTCACGCACTCTTCACGAGCTACATGATCTGTAAATTGACCTCTTTATTTGGGAAAATGTTAGTGATGTGGAGACAAGAGAAAACAAAACCGTGACATCGCCGTTCCCCGGGGGGTTGGGGAGATTAGGCATCGCCGCCTTCCCGTGATGCACCGCGAATGCCCCGTGATGCACCGCGAATGCCCCGTGATGAAATGCACCTGCGCGTCGTGAGGGGGCGTCACAGGTGTGGAGAGCCATGGAGAGGCTGGGGGCACATGGGGGATGAACGCTGGGGGTCGGGTGGTGGAGGGCAGCGCGGGTGGGGGGGGGGGTGACGATGGTGACATCGCCGCCTCACGATACTTGACATCCCAGACCGATGACTAATGCGTACATGAAAAAAACAACAACCCTACTCTGAGCAGATTTAGCACGTGGTACAAGGCAGCTCCGTCGGTCACCGCGCGACTCCAACGCCGCGTCGCCGCCCTGAAGTCTCGGGGAACGACCGGGCGTCACCGGCTCCCGTGCGGGAGCCACAGTCACCGTGGGGGTCACATCCGGTGCCGCTGCTGGACAAGGAGGGGGTAAGGGGGGTTGCGGGGAGGGGCGAGGGAGGGGGCCGCCAAATTTAAAAGCGGAACGCCGCCGTCGTGACCATCGGCGCACCGCGGCCCGGCGGCAGCGTCGCCCGCTTCGACCTCCTCCCGTCTCGGCGGCACGGGGAGCATCTCCGTGACGGAGCGGGCGGCTCCGCTTGAGAGCCGCGTGAGCTCTGCCACGGCAGCCCCCGGCCCCCCCCCCCCCCGCGCCGCTGGTCGGGTTCCGCGTGGTGCCGGACGTGTCGGCCGGAGCGCCGTTGCGCGACGGCGCGAGCGAGTCCCTGCGTTGCGCCGCGCGTCCAAGGCACGCGCCGCACATGCGCGCGTGCACGTTCCGCGTGGCCAGTCGGAGCACGCGGTCGGCGCGGCCGCGACGTCCTGGCCGGACTCCACTGGCGTTGGCGGCCACTCGTGGGCAGGAGGAGGAGGAGCCGTTCAGCCTCGATCGACGTCGCGCGGAGCCGGCGGTCGGCCGGCGCTTTCGGGATGCCGGCGCCGGATCTCCTCGCGGCGGCGGCGACGGCGGCGCCCTGACCTGTCCGGATGGCCCCCCCGTCACGCCGTGCGGCCTCCCCGCCCGCGTCTCTCGTTCCCTCTCTCCCTTTCTCTCCGCTGCTCGCGCCGGGCCGTCAGAGCGACGACTGCTCCGTGTCGCGGTGGAGAGCGTCCGGCGCCGCCCGCGCCGCCAGCAGCCTCAGCCGGTACTGCTTCCGGCACTCGCGGCACGAGTGCATGTGCGTGCAGGCCGGCGAGGGGGGCTCCGCGAGGCCGCCCCCCGCCACCAGCTTGCCGTTGGCGAGCTTGAGGTGGAGGCCCGAGGCGTCGGGGGCGTGCGGCCCGCGCGGCGGCAGTGGCGGCGCGCGGCCGGGCCTCCGTCGGGGCTGGCGTCTCCGCCGGGACGTCTCCTGACACGAGACAGCACGGCGCAGCTCGCTCACCATCTCCTGGCAAACAGACACCTGCGCACGCCGCGCCGCACACACCACCGCCACCACGCACACCGCCGCCACCACCGGCACCGCACACCACCACACGCAGAGCACGACAGGCATCCCGCACTCGCTCCTCCACCTCCAAACAAAACTCGCGACGCCGCGGCGGGATTCGTACGACGCATGCCGGGGTCGTCGCGGGTCAACTCAAGGCGGGGGAGACGCGGGGGCAGGAGAATGGCCTCCCTTGCCTTTGGCCAAAGAACATTGGCGAGCAACCGCAGATTAACGCGCGCAAAGCCCAGCACCGCCCGATAATAAAAGACGGCGTGTGTCGTCGACCGAGTACGGGAAGAAGCGCCCCGTGCGCCTAGCGGAGTGACCGAGCGTGGTTCAAACATCCCGCCCTCCCGTGCCCAATTGTCATGCCGTGGCTGACGCTTTGTGGGCCGAGTGGACGTGCGCCCCGTCCTGCGAGCAGCCGGCGCGGGGCTCTGCGAAGCGCTCGGGTGGACTCTGTGGGGGCCCCCAGTGTGAGACGGCATCGATTGATTACTTTAACCGCCCCTTACCCTCTGGTGGTTTAACCCCCCCCACCACCCCTCCACTGCAACCAGCTTGGGTGGTCATAGCTGTAACAAGGTGGGAGTTAACAAAAATACAGGCCATCACTAAACTGAACACAGTTAAATCTTGACTTAAAGCTTTCGTGACTGCAGGAATTAATATTCTTTACGAATAAGAAAACTGAACACAGTTGTAAGAAACCTTGGGCAGACACAGCTAACCCTATTGACTACGCTGACTCTGTGTTTAGCCGGGGTGGGGGGGTGGGGAGGTGGGGGGCGGGAGTCAAATTGCTGTGATAGCATCTCTACCCCAGGGTCCCATTCCAGGCAGGGGGATGGTGTGCGGGTGGCTGTGGCGGTGATGGTGGCGGTGGTGGCGGTGGTGGTGGTAGTAGTAGTGGTGGTGGCAGTGGCGGTGGTGGCAGTGGTGGTGGCGGTGGTGGTAGTGGTGGTGGTAGTGGTAGTAGTAGTGGTGGTGGTAGGGGTGGTGGTAGTGGTAATAGTGGTGGTGGTGGTAGGGGTGGTGGCGGTGGTAGTGGTGGTGGTGGCCATGGAGCCCTACCTCATCTGATTCGGAGGCCGTTTTTCGCGAGTTCCAGATAAACTCGAGAACAGCGATGAACACGGCCATTATGAGGCCACAGAACAGAACCACGAAGATGCCGCCAATGTTTTCCAGACCCAGGCCTGTGCGGCACACAGAAGACAACATCGTTACCACGTGCGGTCAAAACCGGCTTCTGAAGGGCGCGTGAGTTGACGGTGTCGGCCCAGTTACCAACAACAACAACACAGATACACGTGACGACAATATCGGTTTGACCGCCACGTGACGAACTTCTCTCTCACACGCAGAGCGGGTGGGAAGGCGCTGCCCTCTACTCCGTGTGGACCAGAGAGGTCACTCGAAGAAGCGGTCTCGGAGGCCACTCTGCGATATCCACTTCCGCGGGCCGTTCACGAACAGGACGGGCTCCACTGCTCCTCTGCCGGATTTTTCGTCTCGTGAAGATGCGACGCCGATTGCGCAACCGGCATTAAAGTGGGGGCACTTTATTTATTTATTTTAAACATTACCACCTTGCCCTCTCGCGGGGGGCTTGGGTCCCACGGCAGCAATGCAACTGGCCGGAGCTTCCACGCAGAGTGGATGTTGCACGACTCTGTGTGACCCACCACCCCACCACCACCCCCACCATGGCCCCCACGCCGTCCCCGTGTCCCCACGTACCTTTGGCGCGGTGATCTTCCTCCTTGGGGCAGCTGCCCCCCTCCCACCACTTGCGCTTCAGGATCTCGATGCGATTGTTCTCCTGCAGCTGGAGGATCGCGAGTGTGATGTCATCACGGAAGGGGGAACCTGCGGGCACGCGTCACGCAGCACACTCAACATCGCCCCCCCCTCTCCACTCCCACACCCCCCCCTCTCTCCACTCCCACAATCCCCCTCGTTATCGTTAATCATTGATAATAAATAATATTGATCGAATTCACTCATTGGCTAACCTGATCGGATGTAGCTACGCCACTACCCACCCGCCTCCCCAAAGATAAAGACGCCACGTGCAACCTTTACAGACTGTTGGGGCAAGTGCTGTTAGCGAGCACCTATTAAGCCCGGAACGGCACACAAAGGCGGGAGGGTGCCCAGGACCACGCCCGGCCGCCTTTGTCTCCCCAGCGACGATGTTTGCACACCGCACCAGCTACTCATTTTATGCCGAGTTGACCTAGGGGAGGCCCAGGAACCGGTTCAGACGACTATGGTCACAGCTGTTGGTGGCCGTGAGCCGAAATCAAACTCGGGTCGCCGGTTTCGTGGCACAGCGAAGCGCCACCGCTCCTCGCTCAGCCGCCCGAGCCCGCCGGGCACAGGCAGCGTGAGAGCCACGGCGGCGGTGGTGGCGTCATACCGAGCATCATACCGAGCGGCATACCGAGCAGCATACCGAGCGGCATACCGAGCAGCATACCGAGCGGCATGCCGATGCCGTAGCCCTTGGTGTCGAGCAGGCCGCCGATCTGCGTGAGGTTGCAGTTGCGCTGCCGGTGGTACTCGTTCATGGTGGACTCGAGCAGGAAGGCGTAGTTGGCGTTGAGCACGCGGGCAATGCCCTCCTCGGTGCTCTTCACAAACACGCTCGGCTGCTTAGACAGCATGAAGTTCCACATGCGCTGGTAGGTTTGGTAGCGCGAGTTCTGCAGGGGGGTGGGAGGCGAGCGGCGGCGGTTGAGGTGGCGGGGGGGGGGCTCCCGGCTGCTGGCAGAGGCGGCGGGGGGGCGGCGCTCCCCGCGGCTTTGACCCCCGGGCGGGCACGCCGCTCGCCTCCCCCCTCGCCACCTTCCGGCCTCGCCGCCGAGAATGAGAGGCCACGCAGCCACCCGCAGCACAGCACGCCGCCCCGAGCAGCCACACCGACCTCTCGCCACCCAGGCACACACCTCACCAATACAAGGACCCCCCCCCCTCCAATAACACCCCGTAAGTGCTGTTAGCGAGCACCTATTGAGGCCGGCAAGGAAACACGAGCGGGTGGTGTGGAAGCACCACGCCAGGCCGCCTTTGCCTCCTCAGTGCTGATGTTCACACAACGCACCTGATGCTCATTTAAGGCTGAGTCGACCTAGGGGTTTAAGTGAGAAGCCAAAGCGAGCTTGTGGGTTGTTTGATTCAAGAACGCATTTGCACAGTTGAGTGTCTTACCGTTTTCCCAAATCGGAATTGCATGGCTCAGAATTGTTCCAGATTATAACCCAGTTGCACCAAATCAACCCTTCATGGAGTGATGGTCACTGGGTTTACATTCATAACTCAGCCAGTCACTTTATTTCCGGTAAGGCTCAACGTCTCCCACTAACTCTCACCACCTCTCACCATGCCCCACAATCACCGCCTCTCACCATCTCTCACCGTCTCCCACAAGATCCAGCGATCTGTCAACATCTCTCGCCACATCTCCATATCCCACAATCTTTCACAATCCCCCCGCCATGTACCCCCAAGCTCCCACAAGCTCCCACAAGCTCCCATAATCTCCCACCATCTTCCGACATCTCCCACCATCCACCAGCATCTCTCGCGAACTTTTCAACAACATTTCCCAGAATCACCCAAACATCGGCCACAAACTCCCACCATCTCTCATCATCAATCATCACCACACCCCCCTCCCTCCCCCGCCCCCCCCGCGCCATAACAGACCTGAAAGAAGGTCATGGTGGAGCCGGCCTGTAAGGTGCCATACTCGATGTTAGTTTGGTCAGCGAGGTCTTCGGCTGACTCGATGGGCACTTCCATTCTCTGAACGGTAAGGAAAGCAGCCAGATTCGCTGTGTAAGACGAGATGATGATCAAGGTGAATGCCCACCTTGATAAGAACATAAATTTTCAGGCAACCTTGGCGGGGAGAGAGGGCAAGTCTTCAAAACACACTCTAGAGAAAAGAAGACATCTGCAACATCTGACAGCCGTTAGTACCCTCCAACAGCCCCCCCCCCCAATTCCCCACCTATCTACCCCTACCCCCCACCCCGACCACACAGGGCTGCACACGTGACCGTCTGGCTGGTGAGTGATGCGCCGTGTCATGTGACTGATGCGCCGTGCCACGTGACTAATGCCCCGTGCCACGTATTTGATGCACTGAATCAGTCGACCTGCTTTGCCTTTTCATCGGCTGCGAAAACGCTGTGTGGCAACCACCTGATCTGTCGCTCCATACAAAGTCAAGCCCTCCCTTCTCTATGCTTGTGAAACGTACAGCCCTTTACAGGAACATCTGTGCTGATTTTCAACATTCAGGCGAGACTGCCCACGATCCATTCTGGGTTTAACCCTATTGGATTGTGTGAGGACCTCACAGATCCTTGAACGATCTCGACACTTTCACATCGGCGAGCTCCTACGGCAGGCGAGGTTGCGTTGGCTGGGTCATGTAGTCCGCATGCCGAACCACCACATGCCCAAGCAGCTCTGCTTGACTGGATCGAGGGTGCTAAACGGGCGTGGCGCGGGCTAGAGAAGAGATCGGCTGCTGCGGTACAGGAGGATATGGAGCTGAGCCGATGACTGGTACCAGCAGTGTCAAGATCGGCCTCTATGGAGGAGGCTCGTGAAGGACGCTCCTGGGCAGTTGGAGGCAGTAGCCCTCCAGTAACAACGGAAGGCAGAGGAGCGACGCTCACAACAACGAGCAGAGCCTGGACGGCTAAAACGCAGCAAGGTGGTACAGTGCAGAGCACAGGTGGTGCATCTACCAGTCATCTCAGCAATTCAACTCGTTTAACATGGGTCCGTCCCGTCACCTCCTGCCAGAAAACCTTCTACACTTCACGTGGCCTCAAGGTGCACCTAGGCGCCATGGTGACGTCGGCGTGTGAGAGTGAGCGCGGGTGGACGTGGGGTGTGTGTGTGTCCGTCTCCAGCGGGGCTTGTCAGATGAGCGCGTGTGGTGGTGACGACGGGACACGCATGCAGCCCTGTTAGGCCAACCAATCAATGCCACGTAGCCCATGCACACACGCACCCACGCACACGCGCAAAGACGAAGATCCCCCATACAGCCTTTAGCAGACTGTTCTGGCAAGTGCTGTTAGCGATCACTGATCGAGGCTGAAATGGCACACGCGGGGGTGGGTGGCCAACACCACGCCCGGCCATCGTTGTGTCCCAATACCACACCAGGTACTCATTTGAGGCTGAGTCTACCTAGGGGAGGCCCAGGACCGGTTCAGATACTCGTCACTGGTGTTGGCCGTGAGCGGGAAGTGCTAACCACTGCGCCACCGCTCCTCCCCACCCTGACACACACACGCCCCTCAAACACATTGCTAGACTAAGTATGGACATTTAAACGTTTCATTTTTATATCTAAACAATGAATCACCGATTGTCGTAATTAATCATGTGAACTACATCGAAATTCATGAAGCAATTACAGCGAGCAGTTCACGAGGAGGCGTGAGTGTGAGCGGCGCTCGTGTCGGGGGCGATGGTGTGTGCTGCGTGCAGCAGCAGTAGGAGGGAGCAGTGTGTAGAGTGCAGCAGTGGGACGTAGCGGGGTGCAGCAGCAGCAGCAGGAGGGAGCGGGGTGCACGTGGCGCGGGAGTGGGGGCGGAGCGGGACACCTCGGGCTGCACGCTTCATGCTGGGTACGATTTCACGTGCAGGGCTTTAAGAACCGGTTCAGATCATCGCTGTGACTGCTGTTGGTGGTGGCTATGAGCGGGAGTCGAACTCGGGACGGGGGGGGGGTCTCTGCCAGGTCCGTAGCGCAGCGCGTGGATCTTTGTGGATGAGCGTGCGCGTGCGTGCGCGTGCGCGTGTAGCTAGGAGGGGACACGTACCAGACGCCGCTGACGCAGCGGGTGGAGAGCGCACGGGGCATGATCTCGGAGCCCTGCTGCATGAAGCCCCCCACGGGGAACCAGAGGCTGTTCCCCAGCGTGTACTGGTTGACGGCGAGCTCCGTGCGGCCCCGCAGGCACGGGTACGGGTTGTACCACTCGTACGGCGATAGCCTGGGGGGTGAGGGGGGGGGCACAAGCGCTGAGATCGTGTGCCGCGTGTCTGTGTGCGTGCCTTGCGGTGTGTGTGTGTGCTGCTGCTGCTGCGTGTGCCGTGCCGGCCTTCACAGGTGCTCGCTAGCAGCTCTTTCTCCAACAGTCTGTTAAGGCTATACGGAGGATCTTTGTCTTTGTGTGTCTATAGATATCGGTAATGTCGTAGGTTAGCGCGCTGCGTTACGAACCTGGCTACCCGAGTTCGATTCCCGCTCGCGGCCAACACCAGTGACGATAATTAACCGAACCGGTCCTGGGCCTTCCCGCTAGCCTCAAATGAGTACCTGCTGCGATGTGTAAACATCGCCACTGGGGAGACAAAGGCGGTCCGGCGTGGTGGTGGCGGCCACCCACTCCCCTCGGGGGCGGGGGGGGTATTTGTGTGTGTTGTGTCGCGCGCGCGAGCGACGAGGTGTGGAGTGAGGAGGTGATGGACCTGGCGACGAGGAAGAGAATGCAGGAGACGGCGAGGTACGCGAGCAGCATGAACAACCACACGGCCGGGGAGAAGGGGTCCAGGAAGGAGAAGTAGCCGGGCTTGCGGCCCTACACACAACCACAGCAGTAGCAGCAGCCGCAGCAGCAGCAGCAGACGCACAGCCACGTGTGAACGCGACAGCAGACACACATCTGCGCTATGAATCCAATGAGCCGGGTTCGATTCCCGCTCACGGCCAACATCGGTGACGAATATCTGAACCGGTCCTGGGCCTCCAATAGGTCGACTCAGCCTCAAATGAGTACCTAGTGCGGTGTGTAAACATCGATCACTAGGGAGACAAATGCGGCCGGGCGTGGTGCTGGTCACCGACCCCTTCGTGTGCCGTGCCGGCCTTCGTAGGTGCGCGCTAACAGCACTTGCCCCAATATTCAAAGGAAGGCTATAGGAGGGGATCTTTGTCTTTGCATGTACGTTCGTGCGTGTGTCCATGTGTGTGTGTCTGTGCGTGCACATGCGTGTGTGTATCTTTCTGTGTGTGTGTGTGCGCCCGTGCGTGTGTGTCTTTCTGTGTGTGTGCCTTTCTGTCTGTGTCTGTCTGTGTGTGTGTCTTGTGTGTGTCTATGTCTGTGTCTGTGTGTGTCTGTGTGTGTGTGTGTGTGTCTGTGTGTGTCTGTGTGTGTGCGCGCGTGCGTGTGCCAGTGAGCGCCCCACCAAGTGCACGCGGTACAGGATGCTGATGCCGAGCGTCATGAAGGGTTTGGAGAAGTCGATGACTTTCTCGCGCTCCGCCGTGATGGTGAACGACGCCACCGCCAGGTCCGCCTTCTGCGAGCGCCATGCACAACGACGACGATCAGTCAGCACTCAGTGGCAGTGACGCCACCACGGCGCTTGTGCCAGGCTTGGTGCACTTTGAGGTCACGTGAGGTGTGGAAGGCTCGCTGACAGGTTAGGGGCAGACCCAGGTGCCATGGGTTGACTGACTCAGATGACTGGCAAATGCACGTTCATCACCTGTGCCCCCTACTGTGCCAACTCGCTGTGCTTTAGCCACCCGGCACTCCGCTCGTTGTGAGCGTCGCTGCTCCGACCTCCATTATCGTTGGAGGGCGACTGCCCCTAACTGCCCAGTAGCGTCCTGCACGAGCCTCCTCTATAGAGGCCGATCTTAAACACCGTTGGTACCGCTCATCGGCAAGTCCATTCAGCCCCACATCCTCCTGTACCACGTCACTCCATCTCTTCTCGAGCCCGTGCCGTGCCCGTGTATCCCCTCTTCTGTCCGGCCAGACAGAAACTGCTTGGGTAGCACGTGGTACACACCGTCAAGCCCTTATCAGTGCCCTACCTTATTACAGACGAATTCAGACCTTATTGGTCACCCCGTGCCCTTAGACATCTCAGCGTTCATCCTACGGAGTCCCATTACAAGGGGGAAACAAAAACGCGTAGACAACAAAAAATTGCCCGGATTGAAACGGCAGTACGCCGTATGGACCTGAAAAACTCAATTTCCCTGCACAAGAATACGGGGTGAACCGTCTGGGTTGACAGCGAGGGTGACGGCTGGAGACACACACACGCACAAACACACGCACGAACACACACACACGCAAAAACACACACACACGCACAAACAACACATGCACAACACACACACGCAAAAACACACACACAGGCACAACACACACACAGGCACAACACACATACAGGCACAACACACACACGCACAACACACACACACACAAACACACACACACGCACAACACACACAAACACACACGCACAACACACAAACACACACACGCACAAACACACACGCACAACACACACACACGCACAACACACACACACACACGCACAACACACGCACATGCTCACCCTCTGGATGAGCTCCCCCACCATGCCCGTCCACGTGCCGTTGGGCTCCGGCGCCCCGTAGATGCCATCGTCCACCAGCTTGATGCGGTAGTTGAACTTGAGGATGTCGGCGATCTCGGCGAGGAGGTCCACGCAGAAGCCCTCGTACTGCGCGTTCCCCTCCACCTCCTTGTAGTTGGGCCGCAGCATCATGTACGGGTTCTCCTGCACGCGCACGTGCCCAGCCACCGGGCGCGCAACCCGCTTTCAGATGCGCTTCTGCGGCCGTCTGGAACGTTCTTCGTTCCAATAATCGGAGGCCACCACTGGAGCTCTGCACTTTAAAATCTCGATTAAAAACTCTTTTCTTGAGAACTGATTTTCGTGTTTCGTTTGTCGTCCTTCTGCCGCACCTCCGATTAGCGCGGGTTGGCTACGTACGGTGCAAAATAAGTTCAACATACATACAATCCATATTTTCCCACCGGGCACACCCGAGCCGTGCCAGCACGGTTCTTGTGGACAAAACAGCTTTATAGCTCATTAGATTCCTCCAGCATAAATACAGATTATGATTCTGGTTCAGGCTGGGTTGTTTGTTTTCCCACTGGCTGTTTGGTGTGCCGTGCCGGAAACCGAACGAACCGTGACGCGCCGGCCTTCACGAGAAGACGCCGGAGTCTGGCTTGGGGCCAAACCAGGGCCAGGCGCGGAGCGCGACGTGACCACGTGTGCGTGACGTCAGTCCGTAGATGGTGGCGGTGACCTCACCTGGATGGTGGTGACCGTCAGCGTGCGGTTCGCTAGGCTCTCGGAGGGGTTCGCCGTGGGGAAGGTGATGTCCATCATGAGGCCCCGGTTCGAGTGCCACTTCCCGATCTGCGGGGGGGGGCGTGGGGAGGCGGAGGTGGCAGTGTTCGTGGGAAATATTTATTTATTTATTACAATATTTCACCTGGAAAACTCCAATTAACATGCATATGGCAAACACGTAATGACACATACACTCGTATACGAAGCCAAAGATCCGCATCATCTCCATCCCTTCTCTAGCCCGTGCCGTGCCCATGTAGCCCCCTCTTCTATCCGGCCAAACGGAAGCTGCTTGGGCAGCACGCGGTGGCTGGGCATGCGGGCAACATGACCCAGCCAACGCAGACTCGCCTGCCAGAGGAGCTCACTGAGGCTGGTGAGCCAGGCGAGGCAGGCGAGGTAGGTGAGCCATGTGAGGCAGGTAAGTATGGTGAGCCAGGTATATCAGGTGAGCAAGGTGAGCCAGGTTTGTGATGCAGGTCTCACCTGCTTGAAGCCAGTCTCTTTTCAGCTGCAGAACGCGCAGGCTGTAGTTGGTTCGCTGTCCACGGCTGTTAAACTCAACACGGCCCGTCAGCCCGTCGTACTCCACCTGTGGGACGCGGGGCACAGGGACACGGAGGACACCGAGGTGAGAAGAGATTGACACAGAGACATGAAGGCACATAGGACGCGGAATCGCACAAGGCAGAGAACCGGGTGGAGATGCGGGAACGTGGAGACACGGAGAACACAAACGCCGAAGGCATCGGTGCCATGTGTGAGAGAGAGATGGGATGGGGACATGGGGACGCAGGGAGACAGGCAGCCGGTGGGACACTAGGGCAGGGGGCTACTCGAGGGCACCTTTTACCGGCGCTTTTCTCGAGGGGCCCGGGGGGGGGGGGGGGGCGGTCAAGGCCACAGGTTAGGCTCGCCACCTGTGCAGGTTTGATCCGGGACAGCCCAGGAACTGCCGTCTGTGTTTGGGTGGCGGCAGTGGGAGTCGATTGGAACCGAGGTCTGGTAGCGGTGCTGAGTCGAGCTCTGTCGCGGTCAGGGTACGGGCGAGGGAAGGGGTGGAGCTCGTGGTACGGGTAGGGGCAGGGTAGGGGTGAGGTGGGGGTGGGGGTAGGGCGGGGCTAGGGGCGGGGCTGGTGGCTCACGGTGCGCATGTAGTTCATGAGGCTGGTGCCGTGGTTCCAGATGTGCGGCGAGCTACAGGACAGCGTCTTCACCGACACCACTTGGCTGCGGTTGAGCTCCCGCACGGCGTTCACCACCACGTGCACCGCGTCGAACATCAGCCCCGCCGTCAACTGAGACGCGCGGGCGGGCACAGAGGCAAAGACAAAGATCCCCCGTGTAGCTTTAAACAGGCTGGTAAAGCAAGTGCTGTTAGCGAGCGTCTATTAACGCCGGGGTGACATACGAAGGACACGGGAGCAACCTCCCACCACGTCTCCCTCCTCCACGCGACGCCGTGGGTCATGGCCACGTGGGATCCAACGATGCCGGGGCCACGGCTCTGTGTCCCCATCTCCCGTGTCTCACCTCGGGCCCTGGGAAGGGCCGTCTTCTCCGGCAGGTCTCCCTGCTCGACATGTTGAGACTGCGCACGAACTCGGGGTAGAAGGGGTGAGCCTCGTTGTAGAGCGAGAAGCCCAGGATGCTGGGGCCGTCCGCTCGAAGGCCCTCCAGCTGCACCACGGGGAAATCCTGCCCAGGAAACATGCGGGGTGACCTCCAGCCACGCGGGGTGACCTCCAGACACACAAGGTGACCTCCAGACACACGGGGTGACCTCCAGACACACGGGTGACCTCCTGACACACGAGTGACCTCCAGACACGCAGGGTGACCTCCAGACACGTGGAGTGACCTTCAGACACACACAGTGACCTCCAGACACACAAGGTGACCTCCAGACACGCGGGGTGACCTTCAGACACACGGGTGACCTCCAAGACACACGAGTGACCTCCAGACACACAAGGTGACCTCCAGACACACGGGGTGACCTCCAGACACACGGGTGACCTCCAGACACACGAGTGACCTCCAGACACACAAGGTGACCTCCAGACACGTGGGGTGACCTTCAGACACACACAGTGACCTCCAGACACACAAGGTGACCTCCAGACACGCGGGGTGACCTTCAGACACGCGGGGTGACCTTCAGACACGCGGGGTGACCTTCAGACACGCGGGGTGACCTTCAAACACGCGGGGTGACCTTCAAACACGCGGGGTGACCTCCAAACACGCGGGGTGACGAGGGTGGCCTTAAGGAAGATTGGGTGACCACATGGCACGCGGTGAGGCATGGGTGGGTGGAGGGCGTGGGACGATTGTCGAGGAGATGCTGAGAAGGAGGCCCCCAGTTCAACGATGGCCAACCAGGGCGGGTGAGCGTGGTGAGCGTGGTGAGCGTGGTGAGCGTGGTGAGCGTGGTGAGCGTGGTGAGCGTGGTGAGCGTGGTGAGCGAGGCTCGGAGTGGGCGGTGGTGCTCACCAGTGTGGTGAGGATGTAGCGGTAGTACGCAGACAGCATGCCCAGCTCGGACGCCTGTCCGTCACACACAAACATGCAGACAAAGGCAAAGGTACCCCAATTGCCTTAACAGATCGCTGGGGCAAGTTCTGCTAGCAGGCACCTATATGAAGGATGGAACGGTGCATGAGGCTGTGTGTGCGGAGCGTATGGTGAACACAGTGAGTGCGGTGAGTGAATGCGGTGAGTGCGTGCAGTGAGTGAGGTGCGGTGGGAGTGCGGTGTGGTGGGTGCGGTGTGGTGAGTGCGGTGAGAGTGGTGCCCGCGTGCGTACCCGCTTGAGCACGGTAAGGGCAGTGGGCGCGCGAGCGTCCAGGATGATGGTGCTAATCTTGTCGTCGCGGATCTCCTTGAGTAGCGGCGTCGGGTCCTGGTCCTCTGCGAGCATCCGCACGGTGAACGCGTCGCGTGCGATCAGGAACTTCCGCACCAGCTCCTCCAACCGCATGAGACCTGTGCGGCAACCACGCACAACCACGGTCAATAACGACCACGCACAACCACGGTCACTTGCGACCACACGCAACCACGGTCACTTGCGACCACGGGTAACCAGGATCACATGCAGCCACACAGCATGCGGTTATAGTGCTTGTTGTGGTGAGCAGCGGGTGGTCAGTGGCGATCAAGGTGAGGAATAACATTGGTAAGCACTGTGCATTGTGGGCAACAAGCGTGGCGAGAATGGTGAGTGAGGTGGGAATGGTGAGTGAGGTGGGAATGGTGAGTGAGGTGGGAATGGTGAGTGAGGTGGGAATGGTGAGTGAGGTGAGAATGGTGAGTGAGGTGAGAATGGTGAGTGAGGTGGGAATGGTGAGTGAGGTGAGAATGGTGAGTGAGGTGGGAATGGTGAGTGAGGTGGGAATGGTGAGTGAGGTGGGAATGGTGAGTGAGGTGAGAATGGTGAGTGAGGTGGGAATGGTGAGTGAGGTGGGAATGGTGAGTGAGGTGAGAATGGTGAGTGAGGTGAGAATGGTGAGTGAGGTGAGAATGGTGAGTGAGGTGAGAATGGTGAGTGAGGTGAGAATGGTGAGTGAGGTGAGAATGGTGAGTGAGGTGAGAATGGTGAGTGAGGTGAGAATGGTGAGTGAGGTGAGAATGGTGAGTGAGGTGAGAATGGTGAGTGAGGTGGGAATGCGGTAAGAATGGCGAGTGTGGCGAGTGTTTGGTAAATGTTTTGGTGAGCGTGGTCAGTGTCTGGCGAGTGTGCCCTTGGGGAGTGTTTGGCAAGTGCGGTGAGTGGCGAGCGTTTGGTGAGCACGGTGAGCGTGTGGCGAGTGTCTTGCGGCACGCGCGCACAGTCGGGCTTGACGCAGAGCAGGCTGACGGTGGAGGCATTGAAGAATCCGATGAGGCTGCCGATGGCGTTGCTCACGTCCTCGTAGCTGGGGTAGAGGTTGACCGAGGCGAAGCGCTGGTACAGCAGCTTGGGCGTCTCCTCCGCCCCAACCTTCACGTGTGGAACCTGCGTGCGGAGCCACGGAGAACACAGAGAACAGAGAGAGAGACACAGGGATGTCCCACGGTTTTTCCACTCCCACAAACCGAGCCACGCAAGGGCCACGACGGGGTCGTGCCAGGCCAGACCGACGCTGCTCGGAAGGCGTCGCGGTTGTTTTTCCACTGGGGGAACCGAACCTGCGCCGTGCTAAGTGACGCACCGCGTACCGCCTGACGTCACACGCGGTGAATGGATAGTTAGCCCTGGCCCTGCTTGGCCCCGATCCAGATTCAGATGTGGTGGGTGTGTTGATTGTGGTGGTTATTGTGATTGTTGTAGTTGTGGTGGCTGTGGTGGCGTAGTTGTGGTGGCTTTAGTGATCACTTGGATATTAAAGTTGGAGTCAAGCAGCCATGTAAATAGTCTGCGCCCCATCCAAACGTTGGGGGGTGGGGGCGCGGGCACTGCCCCTGCGTTCAGAGCGACGTCACGTGATGAGGTGCGGCCCTCACCTCTTTCTCACCGCACACGTGACTGATGACGGAGGAGGAGGCCGGGCTGGAGGAGGGGCCCAGCACGGCCACCACGCCCTTCTCCATCACCTGACACACTGCCCAGAGACACACACAGAGACCCATAGAGATACACAGAGACCCACAGAGACCCATAGAGATACATAGAGACACATAGAGACCCATAGAGATACATAGAGACACACAGAGACCCATAGAGATACATAGAGATACACAGAGACCCATAGAGATACATAGAGACACACAGAGACCCATAGATATACTTAGAGACACACAGAGATACACAGAGACCCATAGAGATACTTAGAGATACACCAAGCCCTTGTCCATCACCTGGCACACTGCCCATAGAGACGCACACAGAGACCCATAGATATACATAGAGATACACAGAGACCCATAGAGATACATAGAGACACACAGAGACCCATGGAGATACATTGAGACACACAGAGACCCATAGAGATACATAAAGACGCATAAAGTATTTAGAGATACATAGAGATACACAGAGAGATGCATAGAGACACACAAAGACACACAGAGACCCATAGAAATACATAGAGATACACCACGCCGTTTATCACCTGACGCACTGCTCATGGAGATATACATAGATACTTAGAGATACGCGTGAAGATACATATAAAGGTATATAAAAACCTCCTGGTTACACCAGCCCACAGGGGATTATTGTGTCCGTCCGTCCGTCGTGCAGGGAGGGGCTGGGTGGGGAGGGAGGGGCTGGGTGGGGAGGGGAGGGTGGGGTGGGGCTGGGTGGGGGGTGGGGAGGGGTGGGGCTGGGTGGGGAGGGGCTGGCCACCCCGTGGTGCCCTTATACAAATCAACGTTTAACCTACTCACGCCGGCTTGTGCCCGCCCTCACAGTCGGGCATATTTTCGGAATGCACCACGCCGCCGTTGACCCTGGCCATTGACCGAGCAACCCGACGTTCCTACCAGCTCCCTCCGCAGGAACGTGTTTACACATGCAGATGCATAGCATGTGAAGGAATGACTGTGATAAGTACATTTATGGACGATTAATAAATGAACGAGTGATTGAATGATGGTGAGCGGGCACGTGGTGAATGATCAACGCAATGAGCAATGATGAGATGATTGGGAAATTAATTTATATATCGTAGAGTGAATGAATCACACAATGATGAGTGAATAATGCGTTCACAATGATATCCTGATTTGGGGCAGTTCAGCGCATCATCCCTCCGGGGTCAATTAAAAGCGGTTCCACTTCGTCGAAAAATTCCTTGTGGATAGACTCGTCCTCGCCATAGGAACGTGGAATGTACACCACTGGGTCTGTAGAGTTGAGAACAGGAGATTATCACCGACGCCTCGAGGCTCATTAAGATCATTAAATGACTTTGACTTTGTGAGCAATTACCAATTAGGCTGAATGAGCGAGTAATGAGCGCGTGACATATGAATGATGAATGACTGAGTGCCATTAAATAACCCCGAGCCACGCGGGCGGTTCTGCATCTCCCACCAGCCAGGCGCGGCCTCGTGGTGAGCGCGCAATGTCAGCAGCAGCTTTAGTTCAGAGCGAGCAAGTTCGTCACGACCGCTCCCTGCATCGCACGGCTCCACTACAGAGCCCCCCCCCCCCCCCATCGGCCCCGAGCTCTCGCAACGAGAACCTCGCTCGAGCCAAGCGCCGCCTTGCACGGCGAGTCGATTGCAGCTGTGACGACGGCGCTGTTCGTTGCTGCCCGCTCGGCGTGTTGGGCCCTGCGCTCAGCAGAGGTGTGTCTGTCGTCACGGTAACCCCGCGCCGTCGCCACGGTTACCCCGTCCCCCGTGCCGTCGCCACGGTTACCCCATCCCCCGCGCCGTCGCCACGGTTACCCATCTCCGTGGCCTCGTAGTCGTTGTCGTGCAGCAGCTCGTGGACGTCCACGTCGACGCGAGCGCGCGGGAGCCCCTCGGAGCCCACGTGCTCCTTGGCGAGCGCCAGGGCGAGCTTCTCGCCGCGGCCGCACGCCGGAGTGTCGTCCAGCAGCGCGGCTGGGGGGCGGATGGGGGGCACGGGGAGGGTCGGTGAGGCGGGGATGGTGAGGCGGGGATGGTGAGGCACTACTGACCCATGGGCTGGGATGGGGAGTGAGGGATGGTGAGGCACTACTCACCCATGGGCAGGGATGGTGAGGCTGGGATGGTGAGTGAAGGATGGTGAAGTGGGGATGGTGAGGCACTACTCACCCATGGGCAGGGAGGTGAGCACAGGGGCGCTCCCCGGCACCATGAGCAGCAGCAGCAGCAGGAGGAGCGGCGGCCACGGGAGGCGCGGGGACGACGCGGGGCATCGCGGTGCCCTGACGGGGGTCGCGCAGCTGGGATCCTGGGGCGCCTGCGGGGGGGGGGGAGGCGGGGGGGCGGGGGGGAGAGGCGCTGATTTCAATTCCAGGCCAGGGCTCATGAATAATGGTATTGGTGAAGGTGATGATGGTGAAGGTGAGTGTATGGTGGTGATGATGGTGGTGATGGTGAAGATGACGGTAGTGGTGATGGTGAAGGTGAGCGTGGTGGTGAGTGTGGTGATATTGGTGAAAGTGAGTGTGGTGGTGATGATGGTGGTGGTGATGGTGAAGGTGAGCGTGGTAGTGATGATGGTTGTAGTGATGATGGTGAAGGTGAGTGCAGTGGTGATGATGCTGAGGGTGAGTGTAGAGGTGATGATGATGGTGGTGATGATGGTTGTAGTGATGACGGTGGTCGTGATGGTGGTGATGATGATGGTGAAGGTGAGCGTGGTGGTGATGATGGTGGTGATAATGGTTGTAGTGGTGATGATGCTGAGGGTGAGTGTAGAGGTGATGATGATGATGGTGGTGATAATGGTTGTCGTGATGACGGTGGATGGTGATGGCTGGGCAAGGTGACCTCGTGATGAGGCGCCATCGCGACCGCGAGAGTCCCGAGCAGGAAGACGAGGCCGCGAGTCTCCCCGCTATCGACGAGACTAATCACGCATCGAGTCACAGGCGGACACACACGGATACACACACACACAGATACATACACACGGATACACACACACGGATACACACACACGGATACACACACACGGATACACACACACGGATACACACACACGGATACACACACACGGATACATACACAGGTGCACACGCACGCACACACAAATACATACACACGGATACACACACAAATACATACACACAAATACATACACACGGATACACACACAGGTGCACACGCACGCACACACAAATACATACACACAAATACATGCACACGGATACACACGCTTGCACAATGAGATATACAACCAGGTACATAGAGATATACTATACACACGTTCAATGCAAAGCCATGGACACATACATTCCATACACGTACACACACTCCCTGCACGTACACACACTCCCTGCACGTACACACACTCCCTGCACGTACACACACTCCCTGCACGTACACACACTCCCTGCACGTACACCACTCCCTGCACGTACACCACTCCCTACACGTACACCACTCCCTACACGTACACCACTCACTACACGTACACACACTCACTACACGTACACACACTCACTACACGTACACACACTCACTACACCTACAGACACTCACTAAACGTACACCACTCCCTACACGTACACACACTCACTACACGTACACATACTCACTCACTACATGTACATATACATAGACACCCAGAGTCGCATACCGACACAAAGACAACGGCCTAGGGGAGAGGCCCAGGACCGGTTGAGATGATTGCCAACTGGTGTTGGCCGTGAGCATCTGGGGGAAGAGCTTTATAGCTCATCGGATTCCTCCAGCATACATTCAATATCCTGACTATGTGCGGGAATCGAACTCGGGAAGCCTGGCTGCTCATAGCGCAGCGCGCTAACTACATCGCCACCGCTCCCCCATCTCGCTCCGCACAGACAAAGACGCACGCGCGGGCCGATGACACCGCTGCGTCTGACGCGCTTCGCTCCTCTGGCTGCCACCCGGGCCGCACTCTCGTCCACCGGACACCATCATCATCATCTCCTTGACTATATTCGCTCCCCGCGGCACGGTGTCCGCTCGCTCTCGTACACAGAGAGAGGGGAGCACGACTCGGAGGCGCGGGGAGGAGGAACCACAGACGAGCCGGAAGCCAGCAGCAGGAGCAGCCACGCGGCGCCGGCGATACACCACAATTTCCCGAGCTCTGCGGCCCTCTATGTATGACCGTGTTATCGGCATATTTAATGTTTGTACGTGGAAGGAAAACGGAAGCACCCGGACAAAACCCACGCACGCGAGGGGGAAACACTCTATCCCACCCAGAGAGAAGAGTGGAGGCGACTTGACGTCGCCGTCTCGTGGCGAGTCGGGGTAATGGTTCCTCCCCGACGCCCGCGGGGAAGGGAGATTCACAATGTTCGTGCGGTGATCCACCAAGCCCTCGCGAACTCCGCAGTGCTGGGGGGGTGCAGGCCACGTGAGCTGGGCAGCGTCCCAGGCTGAATTCGCAGCCGCTGTGTCGCCCACTCTCTGCGACTTTGCACGCGCGGTTGCCAGGGGACAACTCGAGCGATGGGCGTGCGCGTGTGATGGTGGGTTTGACTGACTGTGACTGTGTGTGTGTGACTGTGACTGTGTGTGTGTGACTGTGTGTGTGTGACTGTGTGTGTGTGACTGTGTGTGTGTGACTGTGTGTGTGTGGGTGACTATCTGTGTGTGTGTGGGTGACTGTGTGTGTGTGACTGTGTGTGTGTGGGTGACTATCTGTGTGTGTGTGGGTGACTCTGTGTGTGTGTGTGACTATCTGTGTGTGTGTGTGTGTGCCTATCTGTGTGTGTGTGTGACTATCTGTGACTGTGTGTGTGACTATCTGTGACTGTGTGTGTGACTATCTGTGACTGTGTGTGTGACTGTGTGTGTGACTGTGTGTGACTATCTGTGTGTGTGTGTGTGACTGTGTGTGTGTGACTGCGCTACAAATCTGGCGATCAGGGTTCGATTCCCGCTCACGGCCAACACCAGTGACGATTATCTGAACCGGTCTTGGGCCTCCCCTAGGTCGACTCAGCCTCAAATGAGTAGCTGGTGCGATGTGTGAACATCGCCACTGGGGAGACAAAGGCGGCCGGGCGTGGTGCTGGGCACCCACCCCCTCGTGTGCCGTGCTGGCCTTCATAGGTGCTCGCTAACAGTACTCGCCCCAACAGTCTGTTCAGGTTTTGATTTAAAGCTTTCGTGACAGCAGGGATTCATATTCTTGGATCTTTCGGTAAAGTCACGTAGAAGGGAAATAATAAAATAATAATAATAAACAATTAAATTTTCACGACGTTTCGGCCACAACACAAGCAGCCGTCCTCAGGACGGCCGTCCTCAGGACGGCTGCTTGTGCAGCGTCTTTCCGACAGCCCTGTTCTTCACCTGAGGACGGCTGCTTGTGTTGTGATCGAAACGTCGTGAGAATTTTATTGTTTTATTTTTATTATTTTATTATTTCCCTTCTACGTGACTTTGCCGAAAGATCCAAAAATAAGTCTGTTCAGGCTAAACAGGGGATCTTTGTCTTTATCTGTGTGTGACTGTGTGTGTGGGAGACTGTGTGTGTGTGAGACTGTGTGACTGTGTGTGTGTGTGACTGTGTGTGTGTGATTGTGTGATTGTGGCTCTGCGATGATTGAATGGGGAGCGACGGTGTAGCGGTTAGCGTTCCGCTACGCTACGAACCCGGCGACCCGAGTTCGAGTCTTGGGGCGTGAGACTCGCGGCCTGGTGCGGAGACAAAGGCGGCCGGGCGTGGTGCCGCCCCCCCCCCCACCCCCCTCGTCTGGCGTCCCGGCCTTCGCAGGTGTTCGCTCACAGCACTTGCCCCGACAGTTTGTGGAGCCAGCACCACCCTCGGCCTCCTTTGTTTTCCCCCCGACGCCGATGCTGACACCCCGTACAAGGCGCGACTCATTGAAGACCCTGAGACGGCTCGGACGACACTCACAACACTGGTGTCAAGGCGCCGAGTGCGGAGCGCGGTGCGCTAACCACTGCGCACCACGCACACACACAAAGGCAAAGATGCCGCCAATAGCCTATACAGACTGTTGGGGCAAGTGCTGCGAAGGCCGACACGGCACATGAGGGGGTCGGTGGCCAACACCACGCCCGGCGGTTTTGTCTCCGCCCCAAGTACTCATTTGACGCTGAGTCGACCTAGAGGCTGCCCAGAACCAGTTTAAATAATCGTCACAGGTGTTGGCCGTGAGCGTGAATTGCAATCGGGTCGCCGGGTCCATAGGGCGCTAACCGATACGCCGCCGCTCCCCACACATACATACGTATAAACACACGCATGTACACACATGCACACGCAGGTACACGCATGTAGACGCATGTACACACATGTACACGCATGTACACGGAGACAAGGACACCCCCGTGTCGTCTACATATCCTGGTGGAGCAACTGCTGTTAGCGAGCCATCGATCCCGCCACGAACGAAGGGGTGGTGAGGCCAACGACAAGCCCGGCCGTCTTTGTCTTCCGAGTGCTGATATGTACACACCCCCACCTTGCACTCACCACGCACACACACACGTACCAATACCTCACCATTACAACTCACCAGAGCTCACCACCAAACCTCATCAGACCTCACCACCAAACCTCACCGGACAAAACCAGGCACCAGCAGACATCACGAGATATCACCAAACTCACCAGACCTCGCCAGACCTCGCTGTCAAACATCGCCAAACTACGCCAAACCTCGCCAGACAGCACCGCCGATCTCACCAGACATCACCAACCTCACCGGACATCACCAAATCTCACCAAACATCACCAACCTCACCGGACATCACCAAATCTCACCAAACATCACCAACCTCACCGGACATCACCAAATCTCACCAGACATCACCAACACCCCACCAACAGCTCACCGCCGAGAACTCACCAGCCTTCACCGCCAACCCAGCTCAAGCCTCTCGGCGAGCCGAGCCCCCCCCCCCCCTGCGACGAGTCTCGATACAAGGGGGGTAACCGGACCCCCTTGGAGCCGGACCCCGTTAGGCTGGACCCCCCCCCTAGTGTTTACCTCCAGCAGTGGAGTCGCCATGGCACCGCGCGGTGTGAGGACGATCCGGTCCCGCGTCCCGGGGGCTCACATCCCCGCGCGGCGATGGATGCTCGCCTCCCGCGCTGGGGGCGATGTGCGGGGGGGGGGGGGGTTGGGGGGGGGGCACGAGGCGAGTCCCGGCTCGCTCCGAGGGCGCCAACCGGGCGGGGATCAGCGACCGGAGCGGCGCGGGGAGTGGCCGCGTGGATCACATCCCGTCGCCTCGGGGGGACAGCGCTGCCGGGAGAGCTGCGAGATGGTGCAGCGGGGGGGAGGGGGGGGGGGTAAGTAGAGGGGGAGAGGGTCGACTATCAGGGGATCTTTGATGGATCCGGCGGCGGGGACTCCTGGAGGTCGCCGGGGCGCAGGGAGCGGGTGATGGGGGTCTGCGTGGCGCCGGGTTCGCGCGAGGGATCAGCGCAGGCGGTGGAGCGGCGGTGGCGGCAGCACCGCGATGCGCGCACGGGGGGGGGGGGGGGTGAGCCCGAACGGGAGCGACCCCGCCCGCGCGCCGTAGAGGAGCCCGGACAACCGCGGTCGGAGCCCGAGACCCTCGGTGGAGCCAGGAGAGCCGGGATTGGAGCCAGGAGAGCCGGGATTGGAGCCAGGAGAGCCGCGGGTGGAGCCAGGAGAGCCGCGGTCGAGGCGCGCACTGCGGCGGGATGCGCAGGGACCGACGAGGTCGCCGCTCAATCCCAGCGGCGCGGGGAGGCGGCGGCGGGCAGAGCGAGCGCGGCGCTGCGCCTGGCCAAGCCGCGGCGCTTCCACTGCGGGCTCATTGGGTATGGGCGGCGCGGCGCGCGGCGGCACCGCCACCACCACCACCACCCCGCCCATGCGCTCCCTCCCTCCCTCCCCCCTCCCACCCCGCTCCCTCCTCTCTCCTCCATTCTCGACTCCTATACCCCCCTCCCTCCACCCCTCCCTCCACCATCACCTCTCTGCTTCCCTCCCTCCCCTCCGTTCTCGACTCCAACCTCCCTCCCTCCCCCACCACCGACTCCTCTACTGCCCTCCCTCTTCTCCCACCCATCCTCGCTCGTCTCCCACACTTTCACTCCTCTCGTCCATCCTTCGCCTCCATGCCTCCGTTCACTCCGCCCCCGCATCCCCTCCACTCCATCTGTAACCTCCGCCCCAACCCCACGCCGTCTCCATCTCTCGCCTCCCCCCCCCCGACCCACCTTCCCCCCGAGTCGGCCCGCTCCTCGCTTCTCATGGCGCGGGGCGAGCGGCCAGCAGCCGTCTCTCTCGGGGGGTGCCGCGCCTCTTGTTTGGCTGTGCGCGTAATGCGGAGCGGTGGCCCGGGGGGGACGCGCTGAGCTACGAACCTCGACGAGCCGAGTTCGATTCCCGCTCGCGGCCGGCATCGGTGGCGTATTACGGAATTGGTCCTCCCCCCCCCTCCCCTCCCCTAGGACAACGAGTTTACGGTGCGGGGTGTATAAAACATCAGCACCGGGGAGACAAAGGCGGCCGGGCGTGGTTCTTGCCACACGACCCTCTCGTGTGCCGTACCGGCCTTCAAAAGGTAGCTTGCTAACGGCACTTGCCCCAACAGTCCGCTAAATGCCACCACGGGGATCATTGTTTTTGTATTGTGGGTGTTCGTGTGTTGTGTCAGAAGAGCGGTAGCGCGCTTTGTTAGCGCACGTTGCTGCGAAGCCGGCGACCAAAGTTCATTTTTTACTCACGGCCACCATCAGTGACGAATATCTGAACCGGGGCAGGGCCTAGCCTCCTCTAAGTCGACTCAGCCTTAAATTAGTACCTGGCTCGGCGTGTAAACCTCACAAGGGAGACGAAGGCAGGCGGGCAGGCGTGGTGTTGGCAAAGCCACACGTTCGTGCGCAGTTCCGGCCTGTCTCGGTGCTCGCTAACAGCACTGCGCGATGAACCAGGCGACTCGAGTTCGATTCCCGCTCACGGCCAATAACAGTGACGAGTATTTGAACCGGCTGTGTGCCTCACCTTGGTCGACTCAGCCTTAAATGAGTATCTGGTGCAGTGTGTGTAAACATGATCACTGGGGAGACAAAGGCGGCCGGGCGTGGTTCTGGTCACCCATCCCCTTGTGTGCCGTGCCGACCCTTCATAGCTGTTCACGAACAGCACTTGCCCCAACAGTCTGCCACATGCTGTACGGGGGATCTTTGTCTGTGTGTGTGCGGCTGTTACGCGCGTTGTCGGGGCGCGCGATGGATCTCTGCAGATGCAGCTCGGTGAAGGTCGCACAGCGCTGAGACTGAGATCCCCTCAACCCCCCCCCCCCCCGGGGAGCGGTGGGGTAGCGGTTAGCGCGCTGCGCTACAAACCTGGCGACCCGGGTTCGATTCCCGCTCACGGCCAACATCAGTGATGATTATCTGAACCGGTCCTGGGCCTCCCCTAGGTCGACTCAGCCTCAAATGAGTACCGGGTGCGATGTGTAAACATCGCCTTCATAGGTGCTCGCTAACAGCACTTGCCCCTAAAGTCTGTTAAGGCTATACGGGGGATTTTTGTCTTTGCCCCCCCCCCCCCACACACAAACACACACAGGGCGCGTGGAGGTTTTCAAGTGTGCGCAGAGTTCGGGGATGCATGCACGGGGCAAGCTCCTGGGACCGGCTCTGAGCAAGAGAAGCCGTCCGAAAAGGAGGGAAGGTGGGGGTGGGACCCGGGGGGGGGGGGGGGGGACCGGGAGGGGGGACCCGGTGTGAGACCCGGTGTGGGGCTGCTAAGGTTGGGACCCCAGAAGCGACACGGCCGGTGGCATCGCGCACGGGGGGACAACACTCGACTCAGTCGCGCATTCATCCGAGCCGCCTTTATTAGCATCGACAAGATTCCGGCAACGGCAGCAGCAGCTCGCCACGGGCCGCGCCGGGAAGGTGAAGCGGCGGCGGCGCTCACAGTGGCGTGGAAGTAGTCACACGCGGGTGGTGAAGTGGGAGGTGGGGGTACAGGAGGAGGCGGCTTCAGTCCAGGAGCTGCGCGCAGTCTCGGAGCAGCTCCATGCCGTGCTCGCGTCGCCGCAGCCTCCGCGCGAGCCTGCACAGAGAACGCGGCGCGGAGTTTATTTCGCTCTCCGCAAATCGCTGCCCGCTTGTTGCAACCAATTCCCGTGCTCTGATTGTCGCGATCGCCCCTCTTTGTTTCTGGCGCTTCGGGGATGTACCCCTACTGCTCACTGCAATGGGAGGCGCGAGAGATGTATACACGGAAGAATACGCCACGGTGATGATGATGATTCTGATTAACGCGGCGATGGTTTCGCCATGAACAGCGCGCTCCGAAATGTCACGCACAGCTCTGTCGCGAAACAGACGCGAGCCGTCGCGACAAATCACCGCCACACATTCGTGAAGGACGCTACTGGGCAGTTGGAGCCAGTCGCCCTCCATTCAGAGTGTCGGGCGAATAAAACGCAGTGGTGCATCTGCCGGTCATGTCAGTCAACCCACGGCACCGGGGTCTGTCCCGTGACCTCCTGTCAGCGAGCCTTCGACACTTCACGTGGCCTTAAAGGGCACCTGGGCTGGCACAACCGCCGTGGTGACGCCATTGCCACTTCGTGGCCAACGGCGGTTGTTGTTGGGGCAGCCAGGGGGTGGAGTGTGGCGGTGATTTGTCGCGACGGCTCGCGTCTGTTTCGCGACAGAGCTGTGCGTGACATTTCGGAGCGCGCTGTTCATGGCGAAACCATCGCCGCGTTAATCAGAATCATCATCATCACCGTGGCGTATTCTTCCGTGTATACATCTCTCGCGCCTCCCATTGCACAGAGGCCGATCTTGACACTGCTGGTACCAGTCATCGGCGCAGCCAACACGCAGCCAACACGCAGCCAACACGCAGCCAACACGCAGCCAACACGCAGCCAACACGCAGCCAACACGCAGCCAACACGCAGCCCTCCCTACGCAGTGTTAAGCGACGCGGCAAGCGGCAGCAGCAGCACACAGAGCGATCCACACTCGCCGTATTGTCTCCATACGAGCGTTGTATCATCTTGTATTGTCTAGATACGTGTATTGTTTAAATGCTTGAGTTGTTTATAAACGTGTATTGTTCATGAACACGTATTGTTTATAAATGTGTATTCTTTAAACGCGCGGCGCTCCTCACCTGCCCACCCCGCTCCCCACGGGGTAACCGAAAAATGAATTGACGATACGGAGACTCGTCACGATCATTACTGCGATGCGCGCCGCGAGCAGCCTAATAATTGAACACGCCTAATACACGCATTGCCGCGCTCGATACTGTCATTGTTTTGGCAATAAGGAATTTATATTAATGTATATAAAAAAGAGAAGAGCACACATCGCTATAAATACGGTCCTTAATTGGTATTAGCGTCGCTACACGTGAGCACGTGGGGCCAATTATGCCGCCCGCCCGCCCGCGTCAGGGATGGGCCCGCGGGGGGGTGGGGGGGGTAGTCGCTGTCCGCGGTGCTGAAGCCACGGCGGGCGGTGTGCGGCGCGGCGCGGAGGCGGCGAGACGACATCTCCCTTCGCCTGGCGTTCGCACGAGGCCCTGGGCTTGGATGCCGGAGCCCGACAATCGCCTGGTTGTATATTTGGAGTCCGCGGTGGCGGTCGCGTGGATCTGTCTCGGGTTCCTCCGGCTGTGTCCTTCACATTTTAGAAACGCGAGCTGAGATTATTTTTCGAGCTGAGATTATTTTTCAGCTCCTACTTTCTATAAAATCCTACGCGTGATGATATTACACGACGTCGATGATCTATCACGTGTGGAAAGGTCGCCTCTGAAAAACAGACATTTAGCTCCGCGGGCTTTACCTGTTACATAATAACGTATATTTAGATGTTGTTGAGTACGTGCAGTCACCGCTCTCCATGGTGCTGAAGCCCGGTGCTGTCCGCAGTGTCCAGAGCGGCCGCTGTCCGTGATGCTGATGCCCAGACCCACAATTCTCCCCGATTAACCCCCACCCCCGAAGGCATGCAGCCATCGCAACCTATCTACCCTTCCCATTGAATATTCGCCAGCGTGACCTTAAACTTAGCGTTAAATCGTATTAGTATCCCCTCCTAACGACCACGGGCATTCACTGTGTACATCCGGAGGGCGCGTGCGGCACGCCTGCATCCAATTACGGACCCTTCAGAAGCCAGAAGCGCCGGGACACGATCGCTGAAAGGTTTGACCCTCGTTAAGGGCAAATAGCTGCGCGCACGGCCCCGCCCGTCCAATAGCTGCCTTCAGAGAGCAGCAGTGATCCCGGGTAAGCGGCGGCACTCGTTGACTCTTACGGCGCCGCCAATCGCGTGGGCTGCAAAGCAGGGTGTCATTTGCATAGAAGTAGCCGGCTTACGGCGAGGTAAAAGGACAGAAGTGACTCATCCGTCCCATCGGCTCCCAAGACCGCTTCGCTATCCCCACCCCCACCCCCCACCACCACCTCCAGTCGCACAGCAAGAGAGTCTCGCTTCTCGCAGGAGAACGGAGAGTCACCCAGCAGCAGGGCCGCCCTGTCTGAGCGGCGTCTCTCCGCAGCTGGGACTGCACCTCTCTCTGACTCTCTGTGTTTCACACTGCTGCACGTACGCCGCGTCCAAGCGCTCATGCCGATGAAACCGCTGGGGGTCCCAGTTTTTTCAGAAACGCCTTCTCGTGGCAGAGCCGGGCTACGTACGGCTCCTCCTCGACTGATATTATTATAATTATATTATTGCTATTAATACAACTAATATTTCACGTTGCTGCTGTATTGGCAGTGGTCCACATGTATAAATAACAACAAACTCGGCATGTTCCTCAATAAAAACGTGTGTGTGTGCGGCCGTAAAAGAAATACAAATATATAATGGGCGACGTTTCAGGTAATGGACCCTTCTTCGCGGCACAAAATATGTTTTTGTTTACGCGCAATGAAGGACAGCCAATGCCTGGAAACGTCGCATCTTGTCGAAATTTGTTCCCAAGGCCGCACACCGAATGTTGCGAGCGTGTTCATTATCACCGTCAGCTGCTCTTTGCTGAGAGCAGACGCACGCAGCGCGTGCGTCCAGATTCCTCGTCGTAACAACTTTGGGTGAAATCTGCAGCGCTGCTAATCCCTGAAGCGGCGCTCCCTCGCGGACCGTGTAAGCCGATAGAAGCGGCAAAGATGCTCTGGAAATCGCAGAAGGCCACCAAACCCATAGCTTCCAAACATCTCCACGCGATTCAATTAATCCAAGGAAACATGGGGCAGCGCAGGACCTCATCGCGTGGACAAAAACGGCGGGTAACCGAGCGGTGACGCTTTTTGTTGTTGTTGCAAACTCATCCCGAAAACGAAGGACGGATAAAAATCCGTGCACATCTGCAACAAATTTGCGCGATTCAGCGCAATGTTTTTACTCGCCATTTTAAATGTTGACTCTACGGTAATCGTCAATGAGATGCAATGTTGCCAGTGTCGCCTTTCCGTTTGGAATGAGAAATAAATGATCCCGCTTTTTATTGACGGACGAACAGGGAGGGGCTGACGCGTGAACGTTGTCGACCTCGGAAAGCGTGAACACAAAAAGGGAGCTGGCTAAAAAATATCTTAAAGCAGCCAGATTTTCTGAAAAGTAATGTCCGAGACTCTTTAAACACTCGCTGGGAGCAACGACAACAAATGACAATGATAGTGATCGACATGGCGACGTTGACAATGTCGATAGTGATTTAATCTCGATTGCATTTATAAAACTGATTGCAATTATGATGCTAATGATGGTGACGGAAATGACGGTCGTCATTATGAGGATATTCTTCCTCATCACCGCGAGAAGACGGCGGGGCGGTCTTAGAGATAATTCATCAGTGAGGCAGCGAGGGCGGACCAAATGCAACGTTAAAAAACAATTCAACAATGGCAACTCACGAGGATAAAGAGACCTTAAGAGCTCAACTGTGCTCGAATATATGTTCATGTCTTCATGGTCATTATGACATTGATGACGATGGTGAAGATGGCGATCATCAAGGTAATGAGGGCGATGATGATGATGCTATTGATGACGGTGATAACGAAGGTGATCGATGATAATGACATTAATGATGGCGATCGTGATGATCGCGATGACGATGACACTGACGATGGCGATAATAACGACGACGACAGTGACGATGATGACGACTTCGATGGATGATGGCGAAGGCGGCGGCGCTGCACCGCGTGGCTCGTCACCTGGGCTGCGCTCGGCACATCTTGGCGAGCGCGATGGCGCAGTTGGCGCGGAGGGCCGGCGGGGCGTCGCTCCGGGCCGCGTGGCGCATCAGAGCGGAGACCGCGCGGCCGGGCAGCAGCGGAGACGCGGCGCAGTGGCCCAGGCAGAGGGCCGCGTTCCCCTGCGCCCCCTCCAGCCCCTCGCCGGCCCCCGTGGAGCCCTCGATGAGCGCAAGAAGCGCGTCCAGTCCTGGGGAGACACGCCGTCGAGGGAGTCCGCGCGGGGTCGTACACCGGACAGTGGCGTGAGACCGGGCACCAGCAATCGGGCCCTGCCACTACGTCAATCACAATGGTCTTGATAATGACGATGATAATAATGACGACGGTGGTGGTGACGTATCTGTTGGACCAGCCTCGGGCCCTGTCACTGACTGCAGCTGTTGTGATCGAGCGTGCGTGTGTTCTTGTGTACGCACATGTGTGTACATTATGCCCGAATATGTGCGAGTCTGATAATTGGTTCTTTACCCTTCTATCTGGCAACAAAACTGACACCTTTTTGCAAGGAGTCATGTTTGCATAGACCGCAATATCTGCAGTCATAATACAAACAAAAGAACATAACTCTGATAATGTGCACTGTCCTTGAAGTTGATTGGTCCACACCCGAGACAGCTTTCCTTCGAGCCTAGTCTCATATGGGTTGGACCAGATGACGCCAAAAGGCGCACAACTCAAGGACAATGCACCATCAGAGTATGAGAGCTCGGGGCAAGCATCTACACTATGGGGACCTCATTTGCCAGTAAAAATATGATAATTGGTTCTTTACCCTTCTATCTGGCAACAAAACTGACACCTTTTTGCAAGGAGTCATGTTTGCATAGACCGCAATACCTGCAGTCATAATACAAACAAAAGAACATAACTCTGATAGTGTGCACTGTCCTTGAAGTTGATTGGTCCACACCCGAGACAGCTTTCCTTCGAGCCTAGTCTCATATGGGTTGGACCAGATGACGCCAAAAGGCGTACAACTCAAGGACAATGTACCATCAGAGTATGAGAGCTCTCATACTCTGATGGTGCATTGTCCTTGAGTTGTGCGCCTTTTGGCGTCATCTGGTCCAACCCATATGAGACTAGGCTCGAAGGAAAGCTGTCTCGGGTGTGGACCAATCAACTTCAAGGACAGTGCACACTATCAGAGTTATGTTCTTTTGTTTGTATTATGACTGCAGGTATTGCGGTCTATGCAAACATGACTCCTTGCAAAAAGGTGTCAGTTTTGTTGCCAGATAGAAGGGTAAAGAACCAATTATCATATTTTTACTGGCAAATGAGGTCCCCATGTGCGAGTCTGTTCATGCTTGAGTACGTGCGTGCGTGTGAGAGTGAATGTGCGCCGTGCAGGCCTTCATTGGTTCTCGCTAAAAGCACTTGCCCCAACAGTATTTCCGGCTATATGGGGGTAAACTCTGTATGTGTTTACGACTCAGCCTCAAATGAATACTTAGTGGGGTGCGTAAACATCGCCACTAGGGAGACAAAGGCGGCCGGCGTGGTGCTGGCCACCCACCCCCTCGTGTGCCGTACTGGCCTTCATAGGTGCTCGCTAACAGCACTTGCCCCGACAGCCTGTTAAGGCTATACGTTTTTTTTATCTTTGTGCTTGTGTATGGGGAGCGGTAGCGCAGTGGTTAGCCCACTGCGCTACGAACCCGCCATCCCGCTAACGATGATTATTTGAAGCAGACCTTGACCTCGCCTGGATCACTCCGCCGGGGAGATACAAAGGTGGCCAGGCGTGGCGCTTGTGGAGTAGGCGTGTGCGTGTGTTTGGAGGCTTGCCCCCTCTTTTCTCTCCGCCTGATGAAGACCGCTTGTGTTGCGATCGAAACGTCGTGGGTTTTTTGCTTCTATTTTTAATTGTATTTCTAATTTACATTTTATTTTATTTAAGTTTTCTATCTACATGACTTTGCCGAAAAAACCAGAGAATACGTGTGTACATGTTTATGTACGTCAGCCTATGCATGTTGTGTGCGTGTGTATACATGTATGTGTGTACGTGCATCTTTTGTATTTGTCTAAAAGCGTCTCCAACGGTCCATGCGGCTTACACGGGGCAGGGGGGCAGGGGGGCAGGGGGGCAGTCGGTGTGCGTGTGGCTGTTCGTCGCTCGGTAGATACACGACACAATGCGCGGTGTGCAGCGCGCTTCGTAGGAAGCGCTCCAGGGCGCTTCACAATACCGGGGAGTCGAGAAGCCATTGGGCAAATCAATTCCGCTCGACAACAACAATACGTGACCTCCGCCGAATACGGTGTTCATATTTTTCTGACTTTGTGTGTTTTTTTTATTTGAACAGCAACGCAGCAGCAGCCGCAATGTAACGACAATGGGATTCGTATTGCAGCTGCAGCTGAGTGCCTAGCGATCGTGAAAGAGGTTGTTCGTTGATTTTTTTGGGGAAAAGAAAAACACTGCGGGGGGGGGGGGGGTTCACTCCGTATCGGGCAACAAACACGTTTTCAAATTTGATGTAAAGATTTTATGAAGCCAGCAGCAGCAGCAGCAGCAGTGCTGATACGACCTGGAACAGAGTTCATGAGGCACGGCGCAGAGCAGCTTTGTGACCTCCACGTGTGGACGGCGCTTTAGACATGTAAATTAATATTGTCATTATTTATTATTTTTAAGCCTCTGTCCCCACTCTGATTTTTAGACGCGACTTCCTAGCAGCCACCGAAAGAGTTCAGCGTTCACTAAATCTCAAGGAGCGACTAAGGACGGACGAGGCATCAATCGTTCGTGTGAATATGAAGGCCCAAGACCATGAAGGGCCCTTTAAAGTGCTGTCGTGAGCAGCGTTTTCTCAATCGATGCTGAATTAAACAGGAGGCCGGGGCTGTGCTTTCAGATTCGGAGTGATGTTGTTAAGTGAGTGCGCGCGTGAGCAGTTTGGCTGCTGCTGCTGCTGCTGCAGGAGGCTACAGCAGCAGCAGTAGCTGCACTGGGAACCGGTCGGAGTACGATGTTGATTTAATGTCGCTAGAATGACCCCGCAAATAGCGCAGCGCAGCAATCTCGCCGAGGAATAACGAAAGCGCGAGGCCACATCTCGGCATCTTTATCAGACGGAATGGATCTCAGCTTGGCAATGATCCTCAAATGATAAAATGAGGCATTTATATCAGAGCACACACTTCTGGGGCTGTGCGTCGTACGTGCGTGGTTGTGTGTGTGGCCACTCATCTCAGTCAGTCGACCCGTGGCACCTGCTGGGTCTGCCCCGTGACCTCCTGCCGGCGGGCGTTCGACACTCCACGTGGCCTCAACGTGCACATAGCCTGGCACAAGCGCCGTGGTGACGTCACCGCCACTTAGTGGCGAATGGTGGTTGTTGTTGTGGCTGTGTGTGGCTATATGTACGTGGCTGTACAGGTGGTATCATCTGCCAGACTCCTCGGTTAGTCAACCTCGTGACCTCCTGGTAGCAGCACATTAGCGGTGATATCGCCTGAAAGAGCACCTCGCCTGGTGCGAGCGCCGTGGTGACGTCACCGCAGTGTAGTGGCGCCTACCGTTGTTGTTTGTTGTTGTTGTCGTGCCTCTATTGTGAGTGTGTTTGTGAGAGATGACGGGGAGGTGTGACGAGTCCACGAAGAGCCTAGCGGGGACCAAGCTCGAGTCGGGTTGTTTCCCCACGGGGTGAGAACTCAAGAGACCAGGACAGCTTCACTGGCAAGGAAGCCCTGGGTGAGCACGTTGGTGAGTTCCAGCTGAATTGTTGAACCAGGCAAGAACTCAAGGGGACCGCAGAGTTGACCGACTTAGGTCAGAAAAAGAACCAAAAGCAAAACAAGGACATAAGAGCACAGCAAAGGAAGCAAACAGAAACCACAAAAAAACCCAAATTGCGTCACGTGATCGAGACGCTGACCGTGTCCACTCCGACCCGTCCGGGCCGCGGCATCCACAGCCCAAGGGCGTCGGGGCAGCTCGGACCGCGCGGGGGAGCGGGGCGGTGGAGGGCTCAGGGAGAGCGCGCGGCCTCCGGCCTGGGATGTCAACTGGGCGAGCGACTTCTCAGAGCCGCCGGCTCCACGTGAAACGCGCGGTCCGACGTTCACACAACCGCCTCGTGCGGCTGCCGCTCGATTTGTGGATGCACGTCCCCGCCCGCCCGCCCGCCCGCCCCGCCCGCCCCGCCCGCCCGCTCGGGGTCACGGCAACGCGTGGTATCGCGTCCGCCAGGATTCTCTCCGGATGAAACCGTTTTCATCGCTTCGGACAACTTGAATGTAGAGATGCGATTGCTCACTGCAATCCGCCTCTTGTCGGCGTTTCGTGATTCACAGGCCCGTGCCAATCAATCGCCAGGACGAAGCCTCGCCCCCCCCCCTTCATCTCCTCCGTGCCACGTCTGTAATGGGCTGGAGGGGCGATGGGGCGCCACCCGGGACGAGTTGCCGAGAATTCGCTCGTCGCGGAGGGTGAGAACCGCGGCCAACCTAAAGCCGTCGCCTTCATCCGGCTGCGCTCGTTAGTTCGTTTCTCTCTCCATGATTCGCTCCGTTAATATTGCATCTGACATCTCTCGTGGTGTGCGGCTTCGTTTAAGTCTCTTGCCACCTTTGTAGTTTGTTTGAGCTCCACCTGGAGTCCCGTGGACAAGAGGCGTGCAGTCCCAACGGGGCGCTCACCGACTCACACGCCAATACAACATTACAATCCCACACGCAGTTTTACATTGTCAGATTCACGGTGACGCGCGTGCGCGCGTGACTTTGTGCGTTGGGACCCGAGTTCAATCCCCGCTCGCGACCAAATAACAGTGGCGAATATTTGAACCGGTCTCCGGGCATCCCCCTAGATCGACTCAGCCTTAAACGAGCACCTGACGCGGTGTGTAAACATTGGCACTGGGGAAGACAATGGCGGAGGGGCACGGTGGCGGCCTCTGAAGGCCGCCAGGCGCTGTCGGCCTTCATGGAGGAGGGGGGGGGACCAAGAGAAACACTTCTGCCCGTCACCCTGGGGAGGTGAAGGCTCGTCAGAGTGATTACCGCCGCGTGTACACACGTGCGCGCGCATAATGGAATGCACACACACACACACGCGCGCGTGCGAGCGCATCGTAAATGATCGCGTGCGTGCGCGTGCGTGCGCGCGCCACCTTCTCGGCGAGAGCCACGCGCCCGTAACGAGCACGCGGCAGAATGAGGGCCGGGGAAGGCGAA